AACAACCATATACCAGAGACATTTTGTGGGGGTGGAGTGGGGAATGGGATCAAAAACGGGGGCCAGAGGAGAGGGAATGCACGGGACTATGGTGATGGCACAAGGGTGACTCGGTGATGGGAAACCCACGGGGATTACAACTGAGATGGGAAAAAATGTACAAAATGATGTAAAAATAAACTATTATATTATTTTAAAAAGAAAGAAAGAAATAACAGTAGCAAAGACTGTGGCAAAGACTTGGTGGAACATGCTACGTGCTAGCCATGGCTGGCCCAGCACTTGTGCATATTGATTTACTTAACTTCTGCTGCCTCCCTTCTAATCTTCCCTTCATGAGCGCTGGGTCAGCTCTGATGGTCACAGGGAGGTCTGCCAGATGCTGGCTGGAGGCCGGCTCCGGCCCCGCCCCCTTAGCGTCCCGTCCCTTCAACCTCCCCACCCCCGCCCCAGGTCAGACCCCAGGCTGGGCTCTGCGCCCAAAGTCCTTGTTCTTTTGTATCCAATTTGTGGGAAAGGAAGATGACTTAACTAAAATGACAGTTCTGAGGTGCCTTGTTTTCATTCCACACGCAGGGGCTCCAAGGCATTCCTGGACCAAAGGTAAGAAAAGAAGTGCTGGGCTGGAAGGGGGTAGGGCTGTAGCGGTGAGATCAGAGGCGTGGGGAGTACTTCAGAGTTGGGTGTTCTCGCTGACCCCTCCTATGTGGGCTCATGCCACACTCCTGCCAGTGGCATCTGATCAGGACAGAATGAAGTCCTATGGCCCCTAACATTCATTTTAGATACCAGCCTGCTTTGAATTCAGAATTCAATTTCTATCCCCCCAATCACAAGTGGGGTTCTCAGCAGCAGAAGAAATCCTTTTCCCATGTAACCACCTCAAACCCTTCTCTCACCCTGAAGTATAGCTGGGGGACAGGGAAGAGTGTGGGACCCTTCCAGGACCAAGCCCTCTGGACTCCGGTTGGGACTCTTCCAACCTCCACCTTCCCCAAAAGCCATGGCCCCTGCCCCTGGCACTGACATCTTCAAGGGACTGCTGGGCAGTTTCTTCTCCCATTATTTGGGAGTTCAGTGGTGGCATCTCAGGCACCTGCCAGCCATTCTCCGCCATGCAGGTGGCTACCTATGTCAAAGCCTGACCTGGAACTGCCCTGTGGACTTGTCACCAGCACCTCCACCCCATTCCCTTGGGGACCTCACAGTTACTCGGAGACACTCAGGGACTCTAACTGAGGCAGTCAGGCCAGGAAGTTGGATTCTGAAGTCCCCTGTGCCACCTGCACTCCCTGCTCCCTCCTCAACCTGCCCCTCCCTCTTCCCAACCCCTTCATCAGGACCACAGAATGCAAGAATGAGCTATCTGGGACCTGTCTCTCTGTGATCTCCCATCTCCCTTTCCTTCAGGGGGAAGCAGGACTGGATGGCGCAAAAGGCGAACAGGGCATCCAGGGAGAAAAAGGAGACCGAGGGCCTCTGGGACTGCCCGTAAGTACCTGGGACATGGCAAGACTGTGGGGAGCCCATCTGGCTGATCCCAATGAGGTCAGGGCTGCTGGACAGGGACCCGGGAGAAGGCTGCTGGAAAACTGAAAGGTTTAAAGTTGTAGCATTCAAGAGCTCATATGGTTTCGCCTTCCCAGTGAGCAAGACCATGGCCTCTCTTACTGAGGTCCTCCCCTAGGGCAGACCCTGGACGACATGCAGGGGACATGCAACCCTGAATAAGGCAGGGCCCTCAGCCCCAGGGACAGAAACTGGAGACTGGAGAGCTGGTGTGACCCAAAACAGCCTCAAACCAACTTGGACCTGAGTCAGAGACAATGTCTACCTTCCAGGGCCAGTGAAATGCTCAGAGGACTAGGAGCCTGGGCCAGTGAAATGTTCTCTGTTGCCCCAGAGGAAACCCAAAAGAGCTCTACTCTTACTCTAAAGCACTGGTGACAGCAGAAAAGCTTGTAAAAGTCAGTCTTAGGTTAATGGGATCCCTGCTCTCCAAGACCTTCGATCCCAAGTGCCCCGGCTTAGAGGTCCCAGGTGAGGATGGGACCCCTCAAACAGCATCTGCATTTCCAGATGTGGAGTCTGGACTGAGTTCATCCCTTTGTCACAATGCTAGTAGCTGATGGCTCATCCCTGCCTCACCTATCTCCATGTGAGCGCACCTACCACCTTCCTCAAGCCCCAGGCTCCATCCTCCCTCATACCTGAGGGAAGCTGGCACTATTTTTGCCTTTTCAAGCTCTACAAGGACTTAGTCCTCCACCCAGTCATTTCACTGATGCATGGACTTGAGTCACATGTGAAGTTGTCGGCTGGGCCATTGGGCCGGGTAACAGGCTCTTCTTCCCCTCAAATCACGTCCTCACAAAGGGGTCTCCAGCCTCTGGGGGTCCTCTGTCCTCAGCACTGGGCCAGCCCTACCCCAGGAAGCAGTAAAGAACAAGGGAACAATGGGAATCCCAATTAACCTCCTGGAAGAGCCCAAAGGTCTGGTTAATATAATCTTAGCAACCAAATAGCAAGAGCCAAAGGTATGATTATACCTCATTAGTGCATCAAATGTAGGACTATTTAAGGAGCTGAGTTGCTTGGCAAGCTGCAGAAAACTGATGACTTTAGCAGACATTTTCCCATGTCTTAAGCTATGTCTAGAATGATTAAGTACTCCTTACATTTAAAGGGTCTTCCTGCCTCCACTCAACCACAAATCTCTCTTTGTCCACCTTCATGGCCCCAACTACACAAGTGAATATTGGAGAATTCAGTCAGAGATTGAAATGCAAATGACACAGAGACCAAACAGGTAATATAAATACAGAAAATGCCAGAGGAGACACAGCAGCACTTAATCTATCTTTAATTTTTCAACTTTTGATAGAAGCATGGATACAAAGAAATATTTTTCCAGCTTAAGAAAACAACTGAGTAATAATATTCCTAAGTGGCAATTCATCTGGACATTGGAGATACAATAGGGAGTGGTGGGGACTGTGGCCCACTGGAGACCTGTATCCCTTAAGGGAAAGAGCCCCTTCTCAGCTCAATCGACTGCTGTCTTCAGAGAACAAGGGTCCAGTATTTGGATCTACTAACTTTTCAAAGAAAGCTAGACATCTAGTATTTTATGTAAAATCTGCCCATTTGCTAACACTAGGTCAAAATTATTTTCAGTATTGCAGATGGTACAAAATATATCACTGCCTGCATATGGCCTAAAAGTCTTCCGTTTATGCTTCTGCTCCAGACCTCTCAATATAACTCAGTATCAATGCAGCAAAGACAGGGTATGTGGCAATTTAGTTCACATCCTATTTTTAGGCTTTACCTCAATGTTTTATTTCCTCCAGTAACAGCCTGTTCTCTCATGCATGTCCTACTGAGTTCTCATGAGTTCCTCCTTGCCCTAAAGAGGTGGTTCTCATCATTGGCTGTACCGTGGAATCACCTGGAATTTCTCAAACATGCCACTGCCCGGGCCCCACTCTTAGAGACTGATTAACTGGGCTGGGGTGGGGCCCAGGCATCCATGTTAATTAACACCGCGCTAGGAGATTCTGAAGTTTCAGCCAGAACTTGGTAACGTCTGCTCTCTAGGCGACTCGGTCCAGATCGGCCCCAGAATTATGAGGTCCTACAACTGAGAGGCAGTTGCCCATAGGAGCCTTTGCTCTGAAGCCCTTTCCCCTGGAGGAAGCACCTGCCAACCCTCCCATTCCTGAGAGTGTTCCCCACCTTCAAAATCCTAAGGCATAGACTCGTTTCCAAGACTCCATTGGATGCCATTTGCAAGGACTCAGCCCTTCCTGGGCTAGAGTACTCCCGTTTTCTGGTTCCCTTGGTTGTGACGTTGGAATCACTAGATAATTTTCCCCTGGCTCCCCGGGGTGGGAGATAGGGGCAGCGTCACAGCGCAGCCTTGGAGCGAGGTTTCATTCCCATGGTATGTCACTGGCTGCTTCACCACAAGTGGGGGCTGACAGCATTCCTCTTCCCAGCCAGTTTCCTTCAGGGGATGCATGGCCTTAACCTTGGCCCCTGCCAGCTGCCCCACCACATTTTTCTATAAAAGAGCCCTTGTCTAGAACAATGTGAATGGATTGAGTTTGTATTATGCTTTGCCAACTGTAAAGTATCAAAGAAATGTCTGGCATGACTTGTATGACCATTCAAGGCCCAACTTCTCCCACCTAAGGTAGAAGAAAGTTGAATCAAAGGTAGGCCAGCCTCTTCCCAGCCTTCAAAGCTGGATGCAGAGCCTCTCGGGATCACGCTAGCCCTAGAGGCCAGTTCTCATCAGCGATGCCAAAGAGCCTCTCCCCTCACCTGGGCCCCACCCGCCACAGAGGACTCCCCAGCGAGGCCAGCCCTGGGAAGGATATGCTAATAGCTGGGGTCCAGACACCAGTCCGTGAATTCAGCTCTGTCTCCCTTTCCCGGGGTGCTGCACCCGCTTGGCAGAGGGACTTCTGGGCCAGAGACAGAGAGGACAGAGGGGTGCAGGGGCACAGAGGATCCGCACAGCGTCTGCTCTGACCCCCACGCAGCCTGCTCCGCAGTCGGCCACTGCACTCGGCGTCTCCATGTTTTTGTTGGTTTCCGTGTGAATACCGTGCCCTGTCCTCCCGAGCTCGTTTCTCCCGTTTTGTTTGATTACCAGCATTTATGTCTGTCCAGAGTCACTGCTTCACTCACCTCTTCCCTCCCCGGTCCCTTTTTCTCCCTCCCGCTCCTCCCTTCTCCTTCTTTTGGTCAAACTGTTCCCCCTGTCCAGGGAGCTTCAGGTTTGGACGGCAGGCCTGGGCCACCGGTGAGTGTCACTGCCCCTTTGCCCTCCCCTCCCCTGGCCCTGGCCTTGATCCCTCTCCTCTGCCCCACTGTGGCCTTGTTTCCCAGTGAGCCATGCCTTACCCACCACTGACACCACAAAGGTACCCCGTGCTCAGTCCTCTGCGGATTCAGGTACTTGGCCGAAGGTAGCGGCCTCCACCTGAACCCCCTAGCTAGAGTTTGCACTCCGGGTTCTCCTGAGTGTCCAGACCACTAGGTGCAGGATGAGAGGCTGCTGGAGCAGCACAGAGAACCCAGTCCTGGGGGAGGGGGCCACGACTGCCCCTCACAAAGGCAACAGTGTCTGTCTGTGCCCCATCGTGCTGTGTCGTCTTCACACTGTGAGCTCTGTCCTTGTCCTTTCTGCCCACGGCGGCTTCCTGGTCCTGTGCAGCCAGCGGGACAGTGTAGCGGGTGGGCGCGACACGGATGGGGCAGGACAGGTGCAGTGTGTGGACTCACAGGCCCGTCCGGCCCGGTGCTCTGTGGCTGTGTTCCAGCCACGGTCGCCTGCAGCCCCCAAGGGGGTTACTCCAGGGAAAGGGCACCCGGGGCCTCTCTTTTTCCAATCTTCCAGTTTCCAGAAAACAGGCATTCCCTAAAAGCGCCTGGCCCTTCATGAGACCAATAGCTGAAGCACCAGGGGAAAGGCCCTTTCTCTCTCCCTCCCAGGCCTTCCTCACCCCAGCCCCCTGTGAGGTCTTCAGGGCAGTGGCTTTCCACTTCAGCCTGTCACCTCCCCACAGTGTTCCAATCACTCGTCATCAGAGACCAGGGATCTAGGCACTGGACTGCCCTGCTCGGGAGTCTTAACCAGAATGGATGTGTCCCCCGCCGCCCCTACCAGAACTGGGCCTTGAGGCCACCGATGCATGGTCCACACACACAATGAGATGCTAATGAACTGGCTGAAGTGGAACAGACAGGGGAAAGGGAGCTGTCAAAGCACCAAGGCTTCAGGCCTTCCTGGGGTCCCGGGTGGGGTGGGGGTGTGCTCAGAACAGAGGGCGACAGCAGCTAGCGCATTTAGAGCAGGTAGCCAAAGAGTGACCCCTTTCAGCTTGGTCCGACGGGTGCGTGGTCTGTGACCTCATCAGGAAGAAGAGGTGACACGGCTGGCCCAACGTGACATCTTCCTGAACCCCGCCCTGCCCGGCACTTATGGAACCGGCCCCGGGGGCTCCCGTGGGAGAACACAGCCTATTTGCGGGCTTGGTCATGGCCTGGGCCTCCCTTCCCGTCCTCTGCGCACCCAGCACACCTGCCCCAGGTGGCCAGTCAGAGCTGGGGGCTCATCTGAGGCTGGAGTCAGAGAAACCAAGACCTTCCTCTCAGGTGCTTTACTCCGTTCATATTGGACGGAGGCGAATGGACCAAACCCGCACACCTTGGACCTGAGGTTTTCCATTTCTCCTAAAGCTAGTATCACAACCTTAAAGGAAAAATGTTTATGGTTAAAAAAAATAATAATAAAAGCCATGCCCTGCCACGCTAACATTTACGGGACACCTCCTCAGTGCCAGCCCGGCACCACACGGGTGACATGCATCCGTCCACTTAGCCCAGAAGCGGCCTGGGATGCAGACGTGATCGCGTCCCGTCTTTACAGGTGGGAAAAATGAACCTCAGAGGAACTTCCCCAACGCGGCAGTGTTCACAGCCTCCTGGCAGGACCTGAGTCATCCGAGGATTGGGGAGTCCTATGGAACCCCATCCTTGGTGTGGTTCTTGTTTCCTCACGGCCTCACGGCACAGGCACCATCAACTTTCCTTCTTTCCACCTAGTTGCACAGAGGGCACCAAGAACACCCAATTTTGTTCCTATTTAATTCCTAAAAAAATCAGAATGTCCCTACTTGCTCCTACCCCCTTTTACAAATGCCCCACGAAGCACCAGGCACCACCCACAGGCCCAGCCCCACACCTCATGCCTGAACAGGAAGCATAAAGGCTGAGGCAGAGCCGTAGGAAGCTCTGGAATAGACTCGGTCTGGGTGGCTGTACTCTGGGAACCTGGGGAGCTGTTACCCCGTGGCTTAAGCCCTGCTCCAACTCCCCTTGCCTCCTCCAGCCACCCTCGAGGCCAGCACAGCCCCGAAGCATACTAATTCACTCTCAATCCAGCCTGGGACTGCGGGGAGCCCGGGAGAGGGGAGAGAAGGCCCGGCCAGAGGCCGGAGGCCGGGGGGTAGGAGGGCCTGCCGTGGGGGCAGAGGGGTGGGCTGTGGCTGAATGACCCCCACGCCTGCCTCTGTACGTGCGTCTGCATCGGTCTCTGTGGCATGACGACCCTCCTGCTGCATGTGGAGCTGTGACGGCAAAGGTGCAGCCCCGCCCCACCCCCGGGATGGCATCAACTCCCTCCCGAGCGCTTCTGGGAGCAAACTCAGCAACCGTTCTCCTACTGTTTTCAGCCTTGGCAAGCTTGGCTGTGAAGCAAAGGGTTTCCTTCCTCCAATCTGGCTCTGAGGCAGGGGGGAGGTGCTCTCTCCCCGAGGCCCCCAACCCAAACAGGAACACCGTCCAGTCAAATGAATGACTGCCCTCAACGAGCCTGGCCTCGCCAACCCTGAAAACTGGCCTCTGGACCTTGCTCTTCTCCAGGCATCGGGAGGGGCTCCCGGGGCTCCCAGAGTCAGGATCCTCAGCTCTGCTTTCCTTCACCTCCCCAGGGTACTCCAGGACCAATTGGAGTTCCAGGCCCAGCAGGACCAAAGGGCGAGAGGGTGAGTGCTCAACCAGCCAGGAGCTGGGTGACTGGAGGAGGAGCCGGGGCCCTCAGCCCTGGCACCCCAGGGTCGCCACATTGGCCACGGCAGTCTCGACTCTCGCCCCTTCCTAGGCCAACCTGCTCATCATCTGTCTGTCCTAGTGATCCTCACAACAGACTGGGGAGAGTTAACCGAGGACACAGTTGTATGCAGGAAGGGACAGTTGCCTCCACTTGGCTTCTGGCCCCCTGGTGTCAGTCACAGCCTCAGCCTGGCAACTCCCAGGTGCTGCTGTCACCAGACACACGTGCGCTTTGCAATGACTTAGAGACGGCATGGCCCGAAGTGTCAGGTGTATTAGAAAACCGGAGGCACAGCACAAAGTCAGGAGGCTGTGCACTGGGCCAGCTCCCACAGCCGCTGTCTCCCCGGGCCCATGCAAGGTTAGGGTGGAGGCGGAGAGCTGCCCACCCTGTCTGCATCAGCTGCCCCCAGCCAGAGCCCCATGCCACAAGCTCAGGGCTTGAGATCCTGGGTCTGGGCCTCTGAGCGGGCACCATCCAGCTGTGTGAGCACTCTCCCTTCAATCATCTCCCCACAAGGCTCCATCAGGGAGGCTCTGCTCCCTCACCCCTGGAGGTGGGGAGCTCCTGGAGCCCAGGGTAGGGTTCCCAGAGATCACCACCCCTGTGGAGAACCAGGATGGCTGCCCTCATTTGCAACTTGAAAGAAGAAAGCAAAGCCCTTTCTCATCTCTTTCCATCCTAACAGAAGTCCATTTCTGCCTCTTTGTCCCTGCCATCCTAGCAGAAGTCCATTTCTGCCTCTTTGTCCCCCTCCCTGCTTCTGCCTACGGCAGTCAGGACACTGCCTGTTCCTTCCGGAGGGCCCTGGGAAGGCTCTGAAGGAGGGAGGTGAGGAGGGCTCTAACCCCCTCTCCCTGGGCAGAATCCCCGCCAGTCACCCCCGCCCCTTGGCCTCACTTTCCGGAGGGCTCTTCTAGGAGATGGAGACGCTACCGGGTGTCAGAGGGAAGCAGAATATGGCTGGCGGGAAGTTGCTCACCTGCCAGGGAGGGCTCATGGGTTTCTTTCTCCTGTTTCAGGGCAGCAAAGGCGACCCTGGGATGACGGGACCAACGGGAGCAGCTGGGCTTCCTGTAAGTCTCACGGGCTCGGAGGCGCCTCTCCACCCACCTCGACCCCCACGACAGCATTATCACAACGCACTGCCCAGAGCCTGCTGCAAATATCTAGGGCCAAGTGCGAATTTCACTTCTATAACAGAGGAAGTTGCCAGCAGCCAGCTGGTCCACTGCTAGAACTTAGCTGCCGGACACCGCCTGAGGCAACCCTGGGGCGCAGAAGTCCCCTGTGGGTGGGGGGCCAGATCCTCAGCCGCATGGAGCATATGCCATGAGCCCCTTCCACTGTGCACCCACCTCGACTGCTGGGCAGGGGCACCTCACCGATCAGTGTGCCACAGCCCGTGCCCTCAGGCAGGGAGAACCACATCGAGCATGGCAACATAAGAGGCAGATACTTCACAAGTGGTCACCAGGGGTGCAGCTTTCCTGGGGAGCCAGCACGAGGGGTCACAAGGGGTGCAGCTTTCCTGGGAGCCAGCATGAGGGGTCACCAGGGGTCACTAGGGGTGCAGCTTTCCTGGGGAGCCAGCATGAGGGGTGGGGGTCACCAGGGGTGCGGCTTTCCTGGGGAGCCAGCACGAAGGGTCACCAGGGGTGCAGCTCTCCTGGGGAGCCAGCATGAGGGGTCACAAGGGGTGCAGCTTTCCTGGGGAGCCAGCTTTATGCCTGCACAGGCCTTCCAGCAGCTGTTTTAGGGGAGTAGACGACCTTAGTGAGTCAGGACTTTGGCTCCCCACTGAACGTTGTACATGGGTGTGCTGGTGCCATGCTTGCCACTCGGGCAGCTTGGCTCTGGCTCAGTAGGCAGCTGCAGCCTGCCGTGGCCTGTGCTCATTCCCATGCTGAGGACATGGGTAGCAGCTCGCACCCTGAAAAGAGGCTCTAATGACTTTGAGACCCAGTTTCCTAGCCAAAGCCTGGCAAAAGAGCCACGTGACCACCAGCTCCACTGCGCCACAAAGCGCTTCTGGTGCCCATACCGTGTCCTCAAGACCCGCCACACTCCGTGTGGGCCATCCAGGACGACACACAGCCTCAGGCCGGGCCACTGGCTGCAGAACCAGAAAACCTAAACTGTGTCCTTAGCTTTGCCCATAACTCACAGTTAGGCTCTAGGTCAAGGTCCAAGGTCCTTTGTTTTCTTTGTCCCCCTTCTGTAAAACAGGGATAATTAGGACTGTCTCCAGTGACTCAGGCTCCGGTGAAGAGCCGTGTGAGCCTGCAAAGGGGACTGGATGGCCAGCCTGTGTTTTCTCATTCATGTGTCTTGATTTCTCTGATTTATTGCAGGGTTTACATGGACCACCCGGGGACAAAGGAAACCGGGTGAGTCTGAGCCCGCGCACTTGGGCTTGTTACTAATGTCTTCATGATGTGGTGGAATGATCAATTGGGGATTCCTGACCCAACATGCAAGTGGAACTTTCCTGAGAAATCATGCTAAATTAAAAGTCTTTATAGTGAGGGGCTTAATCTGTGGCCTGCCGGAAGCCTGGGGCCTAATCCTGAAACCGAAGCAAGTATTTTCCCACACAACCAGTGTGACCACCAGGTTAGCCTTGCTGTCCAGGACTGGGGGTCCATGGCCCACTGTCTCTGGGAAGGCCTGACAATGGGCACCTAAGTGGTATTTTTAAATCCATTGCTATGTCATCTTACTTAGTCTTCTGAAATTTAACTTCGCCAGGCCTACCAGGCCACTGGTGAGAGAGAAAATAAATTCCATTTTCAAGAACAAGCAGAAAGCTATTGTAAGCAGTTAAGCCTTAAAAAAAAAAAATCGCAGCCTTTATTTCTCTTAGAATGAGTGGGCAGGACTACGAAATGAATTGCTCTCTCTCAAGCACCTTGCTCTCCTTTGGTTTCTCTCATGTGCACCAGGACACAATTGGTGAATGTCCACAGCACCCACCACCTCATGAGGTATATGTCACATGCCACGGCCTTCAGCACAGGCCCAAGGGAGTCATTTAAGTGCAGCTGACCCAGATCCACTCTGGGCTCCTTTCTAACCTGTTCTCTGCTGCTTCATGAAATAAGACACATGCCCCCTAAAGGCCAAGAGCATCTTCTCTTGAGTCACAATATTCAAGGATCTGAACACCAGTGACCAACTTCAAAAATAGAAAGTACCAGAATCATCATGCTTGTATTGAGCACCAATTGTATCCCTTCAATCTAGGGTGCATTTTAAGCTTTTCTTTATCCTTAAGATTCTTCCCTCTGGCAGCTGGTCAAGAGCATTTCAAATTGTCCCACATATTCTGTGAACAGAAGGGATCAGACAAAGCTGCCCTTGACAGCCTGTCTATGGGAAGATCAGACCCAGAATTTAGTCCACTGAAAAATGTGATCATTCTACCTCTCAGTTGGCATACTAACCTCCTTTCTGATTTATTTCTAACATGATCTGCTTGTCTTTATTATGTTCAAGTAATATTTTTTAACCTATTTCTAAAGACATTTTCAGTTGGCTTGAGGCACTGACCCATTTGAAGGCTGCAGATGGGGGCAGGACAGGCAAATGTCCTTAATACAGGGGGAGGGGAGGAATCAAAATCATTGAATGAATCTGGCTCCAGGAGTCAGTGGGAAAATATTTGTTCTCCAACCCCCCTTTCTAAGATTTCCCCCACTTTGCACATCTCACATGTAAGTTGGCAATACGTCACTTAGTCAAAGTCAAGTCCAGGAAGCAGTCCAGTTGCATGAACCTTCTTTTGAATGCACCCAGACGAACCATTTGACCTTCCAACGAGCAGTTTCTGAATCAAGGAATAGCTAATTCTCTCATTTAAGAGATGTGTTCCTGAGGCTGTCAGAATGTGGTATAAGAGGGCCTTCCACCGCTCACCTCCTTCAGAACTCTTTGTACTGCTGGTGTGTCTAACAGGATTTCTGAGGGGAAATGTGAGTTTGGTAATAAAGCCTCCAAAATGAAGGAAGGTCCAAGCAGTCAGCACTTAGCCATTGGCAGTTTTTTCTAATGACTAAAAGCTCAAATTGAGACTTTGGTCAAGAGAAAAGTCTAGAGGCTTAAATTGCATCCTGGCCAGAAGCTTCATTGCCGCGGATGAAGGTGAACTTGGAGATGTTCCAAGTTCCCCATCCCCACTGGTTGTGGGACCAGAACTGTGGTGAGGCAGCTCCCACGCTTGACCCCATGAGGGGCCTGAGGAACCCATCAGAAAGGCTCCAGGCCACACCACCGCCTGCTGTCCTACCTTACAGTGAGCTGGGACACAGCCTTAAGGGGATGCTCTCCAGGTCCTATCAGAAGAGGGCCTTAATGTCTCCACCTGGAAGGAGGGTCCACAGTGGTGGACAAGACCAAGAGCTCAAAACGGGGAGTTTTCTAAGGGGACACATGCCAGTGGAAAAGATGTCACCCTGTGTCAGTAAGGGCACTTCCCTGGTCCCTCAACTACTCTCTGAGCTTGACTCAGGAGCCACTTTTAGGATAAAAAACATTTTTAAGTACAAAGGCAAGAATTTAGCCATTTGGGTGGTATTATGGAGCTGCCTGAAAGCAAGCCAAGTGAAAGGTCTGAGTGCCTCAGCGAGGCACCACCGCAGGTGTGTGTGGCATGGGTGTGCATGTGTGGGTGTATACGTGTGTGGCTGTGGACATGTGTGGGTATGCACATGTGTGGCTGTGGACACGTGTGGGTGTGCACATATGTGGCTGTGGACACTTGTGGGTGTGCACACATGTGTGGCTGTGGACATGTGTGGGTCACATGTGTTGGGTGTGGGTGTGCATACATGTGGGTGTGCACTGTGTGTGTCTGTGCGCGTGTGTGGGTCTTGCTTCCCCACGCTCCCCTGCCCTCTCCACCTCTGCTTCCTCTACTATCTCTTTTGATCTGGGCCTTCTTCTTCCTTCCTTCACTCCAATATTCCTCCCCCCAAAATATGTCCATCCTGCTATATATAATAACCTGATATCATTCCTCCTAGCCCTTCCACTTTCCAGCCTAACTTATTCCACTAGAAGTGATTTTATGCATTGATTTCATTGAACAAACCACTGCTACTTGACCTTCTTTGCCACTTCTCCTCACGAGCCAGAATTCCCTCCTCTCCAGGGCTTCCTCTGGGTAGTTCTTCGGGTGTGGGAGGCAGGGAAGATGGAGGCAACACTACTAATGTCTTCAAAGGACTCCCAAGGCGAGGCCACCTGCTGTGCCCTTAGAACATGACACCCCATCATGTCACCCATCCCGAAGGGCTGGTACGGCCAGCCCTGCCCTCTGCCCCTACCCCCCACCTTAGCCAGTTTCACAGGTTCTTAGGGTGGGAGAATAGGTACTGACCTGCAGACCCTCCCCCAGGAGCTTTGCCCACCATCTGAACTTAGGAAACTTCACTTTTACACTGGTCCGTCCCTGTGAAGGGCCACAGCCCTGAGAGTCTCCCTGGGGCTTCCCCATGCAGACAGCCAGACCTCTGCCTGCCCACTAGGCATTGCTCTTGCCATGATGTTCTCTCTGGGGGGCAGAGCTCAGGGCCAGAGCCCTCACACCAGCAGGCACAGCCTTGTTTCCTCCTAGGCACCGTATTTTCTACATAAGCATGGTGCCCTTTAGAACACACAGAACGAGGCACTGGCCTGGCCGTTGCTGGCAACCTGAGGAATCAGGTAATTTGGGTCGTTTCCAAAGATGCAAGGAAACATGAAAAATATTCTTATCCTTGGCCACCCACTGAGGGAACACCACCATGTCCTGAAGAGAGCCCCCTAATCTTGCCCCTTCTTCCAGGCCCCTCACCTGGCCCTGGCGGGGCTTTTGAGGGGCCATGTGAAGGCACAGTGATAAAGCCCCTAAAACGAGGAAGAGCCGAACAGAATTATCACTTTGGCCCAAGACAGTGCCTCCGCCACAGCCTTGACTCCCATACTGCCATGAGCAGTGAGCAGGGTCTGGGTCCCTGGGGTGGGGTCCCTGGGGCCGGGCGTAATTTCCTGAGCATGTGCTATCGGCCAGAGATAGCATTGTGTGCGCACAGGCCTCTCGGCAAGCTTCCAGGCAGGGCAGGTGTCACCAGCCACGCATTACAGGCAAAGAGGCTGAGACGCAGGGGGTTAAGTCACCCCCAGGCACTGTGAGCACTGGGCAGAACCTTCTCGGGCCAGCTGCCGCCTGCCTTCTGGTCTCTGCTAGAAGCCGCCACGCTTTACATGCTCAGCCTTCTGTAGCTGCGGCGAGGTCCCAGCCAGATCCCGTGGGCACCCCCATCCCGTATATAAGGAAATCCAATATGCGAAAACCCACAAAGAATCCCCACAGCCCTTCTAGAAATGGAGCATGACCTGACACTTACAAAAGAGCTCCATTTAGGAAGATGTTTACTGAAGCTTTTCAGAAACAAATGAATTCGTGGAGCCAATTGTCCAGGACAAAGAGCCGCCTATGACTTCAGACCAGGACCCGCCAGAGACACATGTGAAATGAAGGGACCTGGCTGAGAACCCAGGCACACACACATGCACACACTCATGCATGCACACACTTGAATACACACGCACAAGCTTATGCCCACATCCGTGTGCTACACACACACACACATACCTGAAAGTCGTGTTCACACAATGCATGCGCTCACCCCAGGGTGGTAAACAATATCATCCTGCCTCCTAGTAGAACAAAAAGGTGAGGAAGAAGGGACAAAGCTTGTCAGACCACAGCCTTTCAGAAAAGGACTCTCGGAGAAGGCAGTGGGACCCCTGGTCACTGTGGACCACTAGGGCTCGGCACTAGCCAAGCCAGCCACCAGAACCTTCCACATCGCCTTCCACTCCCCCCCCCCCCCACCTACCTTAGCCAGTCTCTCAGATTCCTTGGGTATGAGAATAGGACTCACCCCAAATCCTATCAGCCTATCTTCATGGAGAGGGGCGTTTGCCCCTTTACCCTCTTTTCTTTTTCTGTCTCTAACCTTAACATAACAATGACCCTAAGGTTTTGATGTTTTGTTTTGTTTTTTCTTGGACTAAACCATTATTTACAGGGGGAGAGGGGGAAGAAAGGCTCTAGAGGGCCTAAAGGGGATAAGGGAGACCAAGGAGCGCCTGGATTAGATGCCCCCTGCCCGTTGGTATGTTCATTTATCTCTTGCATTGTTCTGGTTTTTACCTTGAGGTTTGCAAGTTGGAAACAAAGAAGGCAGATACACTTAGATGAGAACGGACCAGGCTGACCACCACATTCTATCTGTTCCTTGGGCTAGTGAAATTCTGCCTGCTGTTGGTGCTGCCCTAAAGCCACAGCTGCAAGTAATTCTGGTGAAATCCCTTTCCTTTGAAGACTGATGTGTGGAAATGAGAAACCACAGAACCAAAGGGTTCTCGGCGCTCAGGTCCAGGGCCCAGCGGGAGCATTTGGGAGCCTGTATCTGCCTTCTTTGTTTTGTGGCCACTCTGTGGCTGGCAGCTCAAGCTGTCTGAATCCTCACTCTGTCAGGATGCAGGACACTGGGGTAGCGTCTCCAAGAGCCGCCCATATCCAACACGGCCTGGGAAAGGGTGGAAAGGGGATTTTTGATAGACAGCCTCCCAATGCTTGCCAGCCATCCACCAAAAACCTGTAAAGCTGTGGATGCAAACCAATAGAAAGATACCCCCAGGAAGCCTTCCCAGGACAGACAATAAATGATGGCTTGTGGTACATCAAGTGCATTTTGAAGTCATGTGAAAGCTATGATGCACTCAAGTTGAAGTTCAAGCAAGTCTTGAAATGGAGAGGGAGCTGGTTGTACATGTTCCAAAGTTCAGTTCTCCCAGAAGCCAATGAGGCACAATGGTTGCCATTGGGAGATGGGAATCAACTGGAATTTGGGCCCTATTTGGAGATACCTCAAAAGTCCTGCATTCTGGCCAGGGTGGGGTTGAGCCAGACCAGGCCCCAGCTGGAGCTGGCCAGCCTTGACCTACATAATCATCGTGGTTGGTTTTGTAAACAGGGACACCGAGGTTTTAAAGGAGAGAAAGGGGAGCCGGGGTTGCCAGGGCTGGACGGACTGGATGCCCCGTGCCCATTGGTATGGCCTCCCCCTCCCTCACGTGCATGGCCGACTTGGGCTTCCCACGTGTGTGGTCCATGCCTGTGTGCCTCTCCGTGTTCCTCCAGCTCCATCCACCCCATGTCCACCTCCTGCCTCTTCACACTGTAGATTCCCAGGGTCAGCTGCATTGGGGGCGTCCATGGGGGCTCCTGACACACACCCTCTTGCATGCAAAGTGTGTCCAGAATGTTTTTCTAGATTCCTCCTGTAGCCGCTTCAAAAGCACTTCCCCCTCTCCACCCCGAAGCCAGCATTAGCTGCCTTGAATCCTCCTTAGGGAACTGCTCATAGACAAATCTGCCATGGAGAGAGCACCGGGACAGAGGGTTCTCCGGACAGCTTCCCAGAGCTGAGACTTCTCCTCCTTCATGCCCTGCAGCTCATTGGATGGACAAATACTGACTGAGAACCTGGCACAGCATTTCAGGGAGATGCCTGAGTCAGCCCACAGGCACGCACTCCTGCATATCCAAATTTGCCAGATGACTCACGGGCACACTTATAGACCAGGGGTAGCTGAGGAGTCCTAGAGTACAGGTGGGACAGGGAGTCTCTTGCGCAGTCTGCCAGGCTGGGTCTGGGGCCACTGTTCTGGTGACCCCATCAGAACCAAGGAGTAGTCCCAGATCCAGGTTTTAAATGCTAATGGGCTCATCTTTTTGCTTAAACGACAAAAGGTGTCACAAGACCTTCCCTTTCTTTCATGGGAAGGAAAGTGGTCCGCCACTGAAAAGTCTGGAAGAGACTGGAGAGGTTCAGCATGTTGTTGAGGAAGAGAAGGGAGGACCCAGGGAGGCAGGGAGGGGAGACAAGTAGCGCCCTCTTTGTGGCATGTCCTGACCTACATGGCAGCCCCTGAGCTCCCACTGGGCCGGTCTCTGGGCAGGGATACTGTCAGCCCCCCCAGCCGCCTTTCAGCCGACGCCAGGGAAGCAGAAGCGGGCACTTCATTCCAAGACAATTGGGGCAAAAGTTCCTGATCCTCGATTGTCGCAAGAAGCTCAATTTATAACTATGTTCATGCCAGTTAGAGACAAGAATTCCCATCTCTATGTGCCCCACCCCTCACCCCCAGAGCCACACTGGAATCCTTTTGGAACAGAGGAGAAATTTTATAAGAAAATATGTGGCGTGATCCAAGTGTCCACAGAGTCCCCCCCTTGCAGGGACTTCTGAGAACCAGAGTATGCACAGAGGACAGCCAGATGAGCAGAGGCTCATGCTTCTGTCCCCCACTGCCAAAACACTTGCTTGCCACCCCCAGGTCCCCACTGACCGGCCTCTTGAACCCTGAGCATGCAGCATGAACAGCACTTGACTCACAGGGTATTCCCTGTCCCCCCAAAGCACCTGCACTGACCGTAGGCCAGGCCCCTCCTTGCCGCCTCTGTTCCCACGACCTGAGCACCTGGAGCTCTCTGGGCTTATCCTGGCCTCCCTGCTCCTCAGCACACCTCACCACTGTCCCCTGCCCACCCTGCCCTCCAACCGCCCCCCCCCAACCCCCTGCCATGTGCCAATGGGAATGCCGCTTTGGCTGTGGGGGCTCCTCTCCCTTCCAGGTCTGTGGGACACATCCCACCGTGTGGGCTGGGGTGGGGGCAGAAAGTTGTCATGAAACCGTGGGGTGCACCACCTCCCCCAGCACGCCTTCCCCGAACCACGAAGGAAAATGAAGCTCATCTTATGTGACATTAACGCAAACAGGCATTTTCTGCAGTCATACTCCATGTCCATGTGTTTGCTTTCTGTTGATCCTGCTGTGGAAGGGCACGCTGCTTCCCTTCTGGTTCTCCTTTAACCTGCCTCCTCCATGGTGCTGTCGTGGTCATGCAGGCACAGGCAACCGCTGGCCATGATTTTAGCATGGGGTAACAAGACGTCTTCAGCTGTCCAGGTCGGGCTGGCTACCAGCTGACTGCTGGATGAGAGAAGGCTGAAGTTGGTCCAGGACACAGGGGGTTTCCATTCGACCTCCTTGGGCCTGACCCCTCGAGCCAAGCCCCTGAGGCCCTGTGTCCGTCTTTCTCTGTCCTGGAGCCTACAGATCTAGAAGCTGTTCAGATCTTAGCCCTGTTCAGCCTTCCCCGGCCCCCCTGCTCTCTGAGACTTGTAGATTTCCCCAAAGTGCAGGAGAGAGGCCAAGATGGCAGGACCTGGATGACTCAGGACACCGTGAGCTGCAGGAGCTCTAAGGGTGTCTGCAGCAGAGAGGGGTAAACAGCACACGGCTGAGGCCCTCCTGCTACTGAGGCCATGACGAAGGTGTGCCGGACTCCCTGGCCTTCTCTCTGAAGGAACCGCAGGGCCATGGTGCACATGGCGCAGCACCCATGAGGTTGTCCAGTCTTTTCTACCCCTACCCTTCCTGACGGCCTGCATTTCATCATCCCACTGCTAAGGGAAAATATCAGATAAGGGGAGAACTGAGTGGTGGGAGGGAGGCATTTCACACAGCTGTGCCTTCCCGGGTTTTACAAAGGAAGGTTGAAGCCCCCAGTCCTGAGTCCCCAGAACTCAGCAGAGCTTGGACAGAGGCCAGTGGGCCTCTGGGTTGTTCTTTTCACAGCTCTCAAGGTCACCTCTGCCTGCTGATTCCACGGGCTAGGACAGCCCTTGACCTTGCACCACAACCACACGGGTAGACAGACAGACTTGCCTTCTGCCTCCCTCCGAGGCTCTGACCTGAGACAGAGAAAAGAAGTAGACAAGAGCACGCATCGCGATGCCTGATCACGACGTTTGCCATAACATTTGTGGTCTTTGCTCCCCATCCTGCCTGCTTGGGAGGGGGGGACGCATCCCCAGAAGTCTGAGCCATCTGTCTTCCTCCCTGCAGGGCGAAGACGGCCTTCCAGTCCAGGGCTGCTGGAACAAGGTAAGGCCTTCCGGTGGCTTGCAGGTGGACTTGGGGCCCTCTCAACAGCAGTGTGATGATCACACACACTTTCCAATCCGAGCCTTTCTGCAGATGAAGCAGCGAGACCTGGGTTGAAAAGGAGCAATCCGAAAGTCAGGGTGCCCAGTAAGCATCCCAGGCTCTGGAAGAATGCTCAAAGTGGTTTCTATGGCATCAACAAACCCCTGTGTAGGGAACGCCCATGTAGCCACACACCTCTCTGCTCTGTGTGGTTCCTTTACCCAGGACCCAACCTCCAAGGAGCTCTGGACCATGTTCTAAGATTCATTTTCATTAGTTATACTTGCAGCATCCATATGCAATCACTTAAGTCATTCAGTGACATTCATCCAGATATAGAAAATAGAAGGTGCTTTAGCTATAAACTCACCCAGCCTCTGTGCCTCCTCAAAGACCTGGCAACACACAACTACCCTTGAACCTAAGCCGTCAAGCTTCACACTTCCACACATGAGGCCTGCAGTCCAGCCTCTCTCTGGTTCCCAGAATTCCTTCCAGCAACGAGTTTTCATTGATTCACACGTGTCTTGGCACCTGTTCTCATTAAAACTTCCTGACACCGCGGGATTGTGTCCTTGCTCAAAATCACCCCGCTCAGCCACTCCCCCATAATGCAGCGCTCTCCAGACTGACAAGGGCTGGGGACCAACCCAAATGCCCAACTTGGTCCCCAACGAGGATGGCAGCTCCCACACTGTCCCCTCCACAGCCTGCCTTCCCCTCGCTGCCTCCTCAAAGATTCCTTGCAGCCCTCTGTGCCACAGTCTTGGGGTGTTGGTCCATTCTAACTAAAGGACCAGAGATCCCAACCTGTCTGTGAATTTGTGTTCAGCTAACCCAATCCTATTCCAATGATGGCAGAGTCAGACTAAAATGAGATGCATAAATTCCATCTGTGCTAAGGGCCCAGAATCTCATTCATGCTCAAGATTGGGCTACAGCAGAGAAACTTCCCAGAACTCTGGGCCATAGGTTGAGTGCCTTAAAGTGCCCCCTAACCAGAGAAAGAAAAGCTAAACACTCAAGAGAAATTAACCTGTCCCTCCCACTGTGCTTTGTCCTCTTGGTAATCCCCTAAACCTAGTTAAATCTCCAAAGAAGCATCTCAGTGGTATGTTAAATAAGACCCCCAATCTCTAAATCCCCAAGAAAAAGATTTTCTTCTTGATGTTTACTGCATAATTAGCAGATAGAAATGGTTGAGCTTAGTAAAAGAACAGTTACTATAGAGAGCTAAAATGTCTTGGAGAAGCAGCTGAAAACGTCATGTCTGTGGGTTTACACCAGAAATTCAGTCTGGAAGACGTTGCGATTCTATTCTAGCAAGAGCAGGCCTCCCGCGCAGCATGGACAGAAAGCGCCCTCTAGTGGCCAAGGGAGGGTCACTGGGAGCGGAATTGTGATCTCCCACCCTCAGGACGCTGTCCCTCAGCCCTGGGGTTGCTGGGAAAGGGAGAAGCAGGAGGAAGCCTGGTCCCTCCAGCCCCCTCCAACCCAATATGAGAGCCTCCTTTCCCACGAGTGAACTAAACACCCACAGACCCACAACACTAACTCTGTGCTGTCTTGTGTTTGCTTTTGTTTTGCAGTGATGCCTCTAACCTGGAATTGGCCTGTGTGTGTTTTTGTACATAGAATATTTATTTTTATACAGTTTTCACTTTTTGAAAATGCCAGAAGTATGATGTATCTTACAGATTATTAAAAAAAAAATAGCAAAATCTGCATATTTGTACAGAAAATACCAACCTCTTCCCTTTTGTTTACAAATGTTTTGTATAAGCCTACAACACTAATACACTTTTTTGTTTGTGAGTATGGTCATATGTTTGCATGATATAAGGCACATTTATTAAGTATTGAAGCTTAATAAATTATTGTGTTCAGGTGCCAAAAGGCGTCAGCCATACCAGGAAACTGGCTAGCTTACGTGTGAATTCACAGAAATGTGGGGGTCTGTGGTGTTTGCCAAGCTAGGTATGTCTAAGAACATTTTAAACCAGTATGGATTTTCATTATTAAAAAAAGAAAGTAAGAAAGAAAGAAACCTGGCCATTCATGACCTTGATTAATCATTCCATTAAATACATTCTTTGGTGTGAAAGCAGAAAATCCGAGCAGGAGGCCTCCCCAGGATGATGTTTTGAAATGTTAGGTCCACGATGACATCTGAGCATTTAAAGTTCAGTTGTGCTGAACCCTGAGAAAGCCCGGGATTACCAAGGGCTGCGTGCCACTACTTTTGGCTGGGGGTGGTTTTGATTTTCTTACTTTTGGACTATAGTCACTCGTACCAACTACTGCCGATGGTGGCTGTTGGTTGAATACAGACTTACAAGGCCACCTCTAGGTAGCACTTGAAACACTGGCTTCACCTGCCAAATATTCTCCAGTGAAGGAGAGTCAGAAAATGTTCACCATATCTGGGCCAGGTTGGTCATCTGAAGTCATTTTCATTTTTAAGAAAGAGTCTTACTGCTTTCTAGTCATTATGCCGTAAGTTCTAGCTTGTTAGAAGGCTCTGGTTATTGCTTCAAAGCAACCTAGGCTTACAACAGCATCTCCTTAAGCAAAATGATGAAGAAGGAAAACAAAACCTCCAAATATATCCTCGAATATCATTGTTTAGTTCAGTGTCAGACAGGATTTCTATTTCCTCATCAACGTTATAACAAGACATTACTCTAGCTGCTGCTGTACACAGTTTAGTGACGGCCTCAGGAAACCAATTTAAAGACTAGGTAATTACTACAGGCTTATTATTGTTCAGTATTTTACAACATAAACTGGTGGTACTGCTAAGGGCTAAAAATAACAAGCTACTTGAGTGGTTTAAGCACCTCTTATTTTGTTAACATTTTCACTTTTCTTTATATGGCCTTCTTTCACAGACAGTACAAGGCAGGCTGAGCACCAGACTCTGTCCACACAGTCACACAAACTCTAAACGAGTGGGCTTCACACGTGTAAGACCCCTGCCATGCTGGGGGGGAGGGGGAGCGGGAGTCTCACAAGCAAACTCTTGTGCTAATGGAGCCGCAGGCTGCCCAGACCCTCATACTGTCTCCTTCTGGATGTCCATTCAGTGGCTCTGGGACACAGACAACTTCCTCTTCTGAGTCTTGGCTACGTCATTTGAAAAGCTAAGCCTCGAACTAGAACTGATCTCTACAGTCACCAAAGGGAGCTCAGCTGTCCCCACCCCACGTGGTGGAAGCGTGCAGGGGCCCAGACCCAGCGGCCCACTGCTGTCTGTCCTGTTGAGGGAGGGTCCAGGATGCCCAGAGATGCCACTCATCCACGTTGGCATGCGGCTCTTGCACAGCATTTCCAGGTTCGGCACATGTATTCCAATTTGCATTGAAATTCAAATGTATTTCCATTTCTTTTTGGCTCATAAGGAAAAATTTAATATATAGTAACGCATCGAGCCAGGGTCATATTCATCTTTGCACAAGAGCAGGCATAAGATATTTTCATGGAGGAAGGAGGCAAAAGTACGGGGCCCCGGGAAGTACAGTGCGGCCCTGCCCACCACCTCGGCTCCTGGGGATTTGTTCTCCCCAGACCCCGCTGATTCCTGCCACCTCTCATCCTGTCTGTCACCCTTCTCACCCTGTCTGAGGTCCTGAGGACTGAGCTTAACCTGGTTCTTCCAGACCATCCTCCAAGCCCTTTTTGGAGCACCCACTAAATGAACCCACTCTATGATTTCAGCATAGAGTCCAGCACTAGCGGGAATGCTCCAGAAACAGATTCTGTGTCAGTGAACCCCTGCATACCTCTGAGCAGGGAGAATCCTCTTTGGTTTTGTTACAACCTGGTATGGCGCATTCACTTAGGCCTCCTCAGCCAATATCACACAGACACCAAAGTCCCTTACAAAAGTCCCTTACAAAAGGTCATAAAATAGAAAAGTGTGTAAAGAAAAGTTTAAAAATCAGTGTCAAGGAATCCTCAGTAAGAAAGAGCAGGAGAACTCTCTAGTAGGGAAATAGCCTCGCCTGTCTCACTTCAAACTACAGGTGGTGGCAGAAGAAATGGCCGGCTGGGTTCCGCACCCACACTGCTCTCCCCAGTGGCTGAGATTTGAGCCCTGGTGTACAAGTCCAGCATGTCCCCAGTTGTGGGTGTCTCATGGGCCCCCCAGCCAGGGCCTCCTCCCTCAGGGCTGCAGACTGCCAGGCTGAGGGCTCCTGATTTCAAGTCCCCCACCCCCACCAACAGGGTTCTCTATTTGGATATCAATTTAACTCAGTTTTGTATCCAATGCAGCAATGTAGGAAGGTATTGTTTGAGACACTCTCTGGAGTATCTAGGTGTTGGTTCCAAGTCCAACAGACCAGGAGAAGGAATCAGGTGCGAGAAGAAGTGGAACTCATTGCGGGAAGGCTGAGTCAGGAAGGGCAGAGAGGTGCTGGTGGCCAGAGAGGACTCAGGGAAGTAAAAACCCTCACTGCTCCTGGAGCCCCACAGCCTCTCCCCTGCCCCACCATTCAGAACTGCCTTCCCCAGGCGCCAGCCCTGCCCAGCCAGCAAAGTAGCCCCGTCCACCGACATTCAGTGTGAGCTGCACGGCCTTGAGCTGGATCTTGAGACCCTTGTTGCCTTTTCTGGTTCATACCGATGTCCCCCATTCTCGTGCAGGGGGGTTGGGGTTGCCAGCACTGTCTACCTGGAAACTAGTAAACACCTGGCTTGACAGATGCCTGAGCCCTTGCCCACCTCATTAAGGAAGAGATGGCTCCTGCCATACCTGACATCCTGAACCCTCTCAGTCTCACCCTGTGTTCCTTCCCTGCCAGGACAGGAGCCCAGGACTGGCGTCCTTCCCTGGGCCCTGAAGTCCCCTGGCAGAATGTAATGCTGCAGGCATGGGAAGGGCAAGGTCGGCCAGTGAAGGGAGGGCACTGGCCAGCAAGCCAGAAGGCTCAGCTTCTAGTCTTCTCCCCGCTGTCGTCAGGTGTGTAACAACCTACTCCAGGTCTGTTTCCCCAAGTGTCAAATGAGGAAGGTGACTTGGGTGACATCTGGCTCCCTAAAACCTCCGCTAGGAGGACTGGGCCTGGGATGCTGAAACATTCCTGCCTCTCCGCCTAGGAGCTGTCTGGCTTGGGCAGTTTTATGCATGGAGTTGGTGTTGCAATGTCGTGTGTGGCATGTGTGAGCTTCTAACCCCAAACAACAGACCCCTGTGGCCTGCGCTGCCCGGCAGCAGGTGAGAAGCCCGGCTCACCTAGGGCAGGAGTGGCTGCAGGGTTTGCGTCTCACACTGGTGTCTACACTGCTGAATTTACCAGACCAGTAGTACAGATTTTACCACCTGGCATGCAAAGGGGCGTTTCAAGGCCCCCAGAAATGTTCAGGGACGCATGCCACCAGTGTCCTTTGGCTGGCCTCCCTCATGAGCCTCTCTGCACTCTCCCCAAGCACTGCCCACACTCTCCTCCCCTGGCCACTCCCCGGCCCCAGATGCGCACACCTTTTCTGGCCACATGAGATGCCAAGATCCTAAGACTGCACACATCTTAAAAAGAAGAGAAGGGCTGGCAGAGCAGAGAAGGAAAGGCAAGAAGGGAGGCAGGAACCACCTCCATTGCCAAGGTAGCGCCTCACAGTGGGGGAGGAAGGCGCAGAATGGCGCAGGGAAGGGCTGTGCATTGCCATCCTCTCACCGGCGGTGAACCCTCTTCCTCCATCGGTGGTGGGAAGATGGAGTGGAGGCAGAGCTGAGGCACAGGGGGGTCTTGCCCCGCAGTGCCCCCTCCTTTCCAGGTTCTAGTCACTGGCCCTACTGGCACCCTCCGCTCCCCCTCCCCACACTTTTTCCCATGCCAAGACTTTCACCTGGAATGACCATCTTACTCACCTGTCAAAGTTCTACCCCATCTCCAGGTCCAGTACAGACTCCTGGGCCCTAGAATATCTTTTCTGCTTCCTCTGTAACAACCTTGAATGTCAGATGGCGCCCCCACCTTGAAGGGGACCCTGTGCTCTTTTCTTCCTCTACCTTCTACTAGAGTAGGAAATAAAGGTCTTCTGTGGGAGACAAGGAAAGCTTAGAAGCGAGGTTTCTAAACCACGAGCGTCTGGAGGACTTAGTTCGGGCTCTCCCCGCCCGAAGCGGGGACAGCTAGGAACTTCCGAGTGCTCATTCAATTTTAATAAGTACCCACTATGTGCAGGCAGTGGAAGGGAGGAGCCGCTAAAGACTGCAGATACTTGCCCCCCAGGAGCTAACGGATTGCCCAGCAGTGCAGAGACCTGCTGGGGCCAAGGAGAGCACACTGTGGAGGCCAGTGGAGCCCGAATGAAGAGAAGACCAGGCCGGTCAGGACAGGGTCACAAAGCAGAGAGGGGACAAGCTGTCTGCCACAGACTGGCACACCCTTCTCTTGCCTCATCCTCTTTTCCCTGGTAGAATCTTCCAGTTAGCACAGGCAAAGACGGATTCCCAGATCCAGGGAGGCCAGTGAGGCTGTGAAGACAGGTGGAAGAGAGGCTGAGTGCAGACTGGAGGGTGCTGGCCATCTGCCAAGGTCACCTGGGTCTGTGGGACCCTGCCAGTCCCGGGAGGTACCCCCAAGTGCCAGTCACCAAACAAGGCTCCTTCTCAGACATCCCTTTCTCTGTACTCCTCAAGGGCCAGAGTCCATGGTTAATCGCCAAGAAGTGAAATCAACCAGCCCAGAGACCTGGGGAAAGTGCCTTGTCCCGGAGGAGGGAGAGAACAGCGGGTTCACGGGTCGAACCCTATCCAAGCAGGTCTGGCTTGAGTGGGTGACCAGAGGGTGCTCTCAGGGTGCTCTCAGGGGCCATGTGCCCTCTCCAGGGCCCAGCTGGAGCAGCTCAGGCTTGCAACACTGCTCCTCCAGCTCTCCACTGGGATTCCACTGCCACCC